ATTTTCGGTTTTTCATTAATTTTGGGTTTTTTGACGCCATGATAACTTTGTTTTGCAATAAATTATATGTAAGCCCAGTAGCCGTTGATGGGCTAACTATTGTTAAAATATTATTTTGTTATAAAAAGGATATCTTGTGCCGCTAACAAAAAAATTTGCTGATCCTTTAGGGTGAAGAAAATTAATTTTTACTTCATCTCTAATTACATTCATTTCTTGTACAAACCCTAACCACCAATCGTTTTCATATACATATGTTACATATCCTCTAATCTCATCGATCAACAGTTCCTCAATCAAAGGATCCTCACGTGGATATCCTATATTCTCCATAATCAATGTCTGCGATTTAGAAGATGAGTTTAGTTAAACCAATCGGAAACAATGCATGAATTTTTTGGGTCCAACATATATAGAGATAGATTTATTAAATCTTTTACTTAGCCTTATCTCTTCTTCCTCATACTCTGGTATGGTGGAATAAGAAAAATTTATACCTTTTATATGCTCTTCCGCATATTTATAAAATTGTAAAAGTGTAATTATTTGATCAGTATAAGGTATTTGTAAGCTTGCCTTGGCAACTAACCTTTTTACTGTGCCCATGCCGTCGCTGGGGCTTTTACCATGTGCCGTAGGAAAAAATGCCATTCTGCTTGAAAACCAAAATCGATTTCATGGTAGCAAACATTGATGAAGTTTTTCCTATTTTTATATTGCGTTGCTGAACCATCAGAAAGGTAGTGATTTTTTTCTGGTGGAGTTTTGAATTTATTTTTAAAAAATGAATCAAATACGATTGGAATAAATGAAATGAAACAGTTTAAGGATTCCGATATTACCACAAAACTTAGGTTGTTTATTTGATCTCCTATTTTATAATAAATTGAGAATGGATGCAACGTAACTTGCGAAGTTGTTCAATGATTACCCTGAACAATAAAGGAATAATTTTCTGAAAAGTCACAAATGATTAGATAGTGATTATTTTCTAAACTATATTTAAAATTATTGTGAAATAAATTTTGTTGTTCACAAATAAATGAATGGCGTATGAGAATATTCATTTTATCGAAAAAATAATTAATAAATTCGTCTAAAGATTAGAGAAATAGTCTCCAGAGTTGTTCTATCTACCGAAACCCACTGTTTAAACGAACAAGAGCTATATCATTTTTTATAAATAATTTTTCGATACGTTCTTTTAAGTGTGCCAAGCCAGGACACTCGTTGCAGTCAACCAAAATAACACGTGGGTAACGTGGATTGCAAATCATTCTGCCTATAACATCTCTATAAGTTGTTAATGTATCACCATTTTTAGTTAATGTTGCTAATTCACAGCCTAAAATTATAAGTTTTATATTCTGATGTATGCTACAAACGCATAGTGTGCTCCGCAAGCCCCTACTAATATACAATTTTTTTGGTCTTAAGCTAGCAAATTTCGAAAATCCAATTGTTATGTTTGAATTACTCGCCTTAAAATGATTATATAATTCTTTTAAATTATTAGAACTAACCTTTTTTGAGCGTTCACCGTTCACCCTTTTCAATGATAGATATGCAATCTTTTTTTCCTGGTAATACCCTATTAACTTCATCACTGCAAAAAAAAATTTTGATTGAGATATTTTGCAGGCTTTCGATTTGGAGTTGAAAGAATCCCCTTTTTTCTAAAATGATTTTGGAATTATATGCCATGATATAGCGTTGAATGTCGTTTTTATTTTATTTGTGCTCCAATTAGGAGGCAAGAATGGTCAGCAATTGATATTTTTTATTTTTAGATAAATTAGGATATTGTAAATTCATATTATTGAGTTAATCATTATTGTCTTTTGTATCCGATTCTGGATTTTTAATTATTATATTTGAAATAGCTTTTGATATTTTTGCTACCTTTTTTTAGGATAATTTTTTTCGGTTAGTTTTTTTCTTCTTAAGGCTGTGTCATAAATTAAAAAAAAAATTACTCAAAAGTTTTGTGAAATACACAACTTTCGTGAATTTTGAGAAACATGTCCCAAATCATACATTTATTTTCAAATTAAAATATATAAAATGTTTGATGTGAATGATTTACTAACATGCTAGATAAGATAATTCTATATTTTATATTATTTGAAGATAATCATGAGTGCCAAATTTAAACACTTATATAAATCCTGAGAAACGAATATAACTAATACTATACAAATAGTTAGACTGCTTATTACACAATATTATTATTGATATTGAGGGTAGTCAATGTACTCAAATTAATTATGAAGAATACCCTTATCCCAAAAATTTTTATATACATTTTTTTTTTAATTTTATAAATATTCAATAAAAACAATAAAGTGTTGTTTTGATTATATTGTATAAGAGAGTGATATGTATTTAATTTAAGTAAAATTCACATTTTATAAAAAACATTAAACATAATAATTTTTATTATAAAAATATACAAAATTATAAATATGAAGATAATATACAAAATTATAAATATGAAGATAAAATTACAATATGAAAATAATATACAATAATTATAAATATGAAAATAATATACAAATATGCAAATAATATATAAAATTATAAATATGAAAATAATATACAAAATTATAAATATGAAAATAATATACAAAATTATAAATATGAAAATAATATACAAAATTAATATGAAAATAATATACAAAATTATAAATATATATATCATTTAACATATCTTGTGTGTTTGGCTCTAAATCCTAAGATAATAGTTCTAATACTTGTGATGATATTTGTATATTTAACATATCTTGGGTGTTGTTTGGCTCAATCCTAAAATATAGATTATTATATCATTCTAATTTCATGTTAAAATACATGTGGAGATATTTGTATATTAATAGCATCCTCAGATTGTTTCAAACTGAAACTTGCTTCAGAATTCTTACATATATCCTCCACATTTTATTTCAGCTAGTAAAAGTCTTCAACAAATTTAAGGTGCTTGCTGCTCATCATAGCTAAAATATAAACTAATATTTATATATACTATTAATATACTTGTCAATCTCTTTCCATTTAACTTTACTTTTAACTGTATCTTTATATTTTAAGTATTACACCACAGATACATATGTGGTCTTATATTTTCCATCAATTCAAATTTGTTAGCTATTTTTATTCACGCAATTTGCAAAAATTTAATGATAAAAAGAATAAAGTATTACAAATCGTAAAATTTTTAAGAATCACGTAATTTTCGCAAAATGGAAAAAAATCATTTAGGCCAACATTTTAATTTTCCATTAAAAATGGCTTATATATTTTTTTTCGCTAGATTCGCACAAATTGCGCGATGCAATTTTTTGATATTTAGGACACAGCCTAATAGGAGATATTCCAATTTTGTTTAAAGTTATATTGATTGTATCTATTGATGTGTATGCTATGGTGATAATATTAACATATTCGCTATCAGAATTTATAATTTCAATATTTTTTTGTGATAACCGTTTACGCATTTATCACAAATATAGTGTTCCGCCTCAATGTTGGGAAATTGTGTCATCCACATCATGACTTTACGCAGGTTCTTTTCATAATTAAAGTGTTTAGATTCTTTAAAAGGATTTACGCATTTATATTTATATATTATAAATAGATTTTAAAAAAAAAAAATTAATATCATTTGTAAAATAAAAATTTATTATTAGAGCAGGTGCATGATAACTTGCTTTTACCTTTCAACAATTAATTATTATATTTTCTTGTAGGAGATATCGGAATCTAAACTATCTTTTTAGGAAATTTAATCATTTATTATAAAAAAAAACAACTAATTTTTACAAGTTATCAATATAGTAATAACAATAAGTAAGCCTATCAAACTATCTATATAATATTTTTTATGATATTAATGCTGGAAAATCTTATTATTTAGGTGTAATGCGTTATTTTATAAAGGAGCGCCATCTATTTTTGAAAAAAATTTTTATTTTTTTAAATCGTAATAACTAAAAATAGCTGTCCCAAGTTTATTTTTTATGAATAGATATAAGGTTAGAGAATAAGAAAATATTAAATTTAAAAAAATTTGGAAAGCAAAACAACTGGAGTTTTCGTTTAAAATTTATAACGTAAATAAAAATCGCAACAATATTGTTTTAAAAAAATCCTTAATATTTAATAAAAGGCCTTTAAGAGAGCTATAATTTGACATATAACTTATATTTTTAATCATATTTTAACTTATCCCAATTTTAAAAATGGTATTTTTCTAAAAAGGTCATTTTTGGCTTTTTTGACCATTTATATCTCAGGAACTATGAGTAATAGGAGGATAAAAATTTTGATTATGTGCTTTCTAATAATATTCTACCAGCTTAGTGTTGTTAAATGGCTCGTTTTGAATCGATTTTTAAAAACGGCTAAGTCAATATTTCAGCCAGAAAAATATTACCTAAACCTCGAGATTTCTCTAATTGATGTCTAAACCTTTATGCCATCTAGTGTTGTTAAACGGCTAGATTTGAGCCGATTTTGAAAAACGGCTATCTCAATATTTTATCCACAAAAATATTACAAAAGCCTGAAGATTTCAATAGATGGCACAAAGGTTTGGACATATATTATCAACATTTCAAAGCTTAGACAATTGTTTTCTGGTTAAAATATTGATTTAACCTTTTTTAAAAATCGGCTCAAAACGAGATGTTTAACAACACTAGTGCCATCTATAAGCAAAATCTTCAGGCTTGCCTAATATTATTTTAGATAAAATATTGAGTTTGCCATTTTTAAAAATCGGCTCAAATCGAGATGTTTAATAACACTACGTTTGCAAAATTTTATCGAAATTAAAAAGGTCGGGCTGAAAAGTTATGGATATGGTATGGAATTACCCCAAATCAATATTATTTTTTAAGAAATAAACCTCCCATTATTTTAATTTTATACCAAACCTTTTTGGTTTTCTGATTACAACTTTATACCAAGTTTATTTTATAAAATTTGATATTTAAATATACCTTAATAAATTTATCTCTTCCTGCTGATGCTAATATATTTTTTTCTTGGGGGTGCCATTCACAAGAAAAGGCAGGACCATTATGTGCAGAAAACTCTCTTAAAGATATATTTGTATTTCTCAAATCCCATAGTTGTATGGTACCATTTTCTTGTCCAGCCACAAAAATAAAATTATCAAATGGATTAAAATTGACATCTCTAACACTTTCAGAATTACTAAATAACTAAAAAATAAACTTTTATATCACAAGTATATTACCTAAAAAATGTATGAATGGCCTCATTAGTTCTTATATCAAAACATTTCATTGTCCCATCTTGTGAGCCACTTAATAATAAATTGGCATCATTTGGGTGGAAATTAACCCTGTTGACAGTTCTTGTGTGTTCATTATAGATATTTAATTGTTTAGAGTGTGATACCTTGTCTATATTCCATGTCACAACAGCCCCGTTAGTAGCTGCAGAGGCTAGTACATTATTATTTAGATGGCTCCAAGCAACATCTGTGCAGCTATAATTTAAATTTATTTTACCAACCCTTAAATTCATTTTTTCTTCAAAAACATTTTCCTTATTTCCATCTAAATCTCCATCGTTTATATAAAAAATTTTAAACACATTTCTCCCTGCTGTAGCAACTAAATTTGCATCACTATTTATACAGAGGGCATTTAAAGGTGCATCTAAAACAGTATACATATCGCTTAATTTGAAGAATCATAAAAAAAATTATTCATCGCATTTGTTAAATAAATTAGTAAATAAGCACGAAAATAAGAATGGCATGAAATGACAGCTTAGATATGAATGTGGTTAGCAAAGCTTTTGGACAAAAGCTCATCGTATGGAGAAATATTGAGCCCCTTTATGTTAGATTATTTTTATATGTTTTTTTTAAAAATAATTGCGTCAATATGATATTCTAATTTAATTTTGTTTTTAATGTAAATTGCTAGTATTTTTTCCATTCAATTAAAGAACAAGAAGGGAAAATTTCGATTCTTTATAGTTTTAATTTAGGCATTGGTACAAGATCTTTCAAATTAGTTTGACTTAATATTGCATTCTAAATATTAGATGATTAAAATTTCCTCTGAATATTTCTATATTAAAATAGAATAACAATGACAATTCAGAGATGAATACATATCATTTATTTTTACTATTAGTTTTTCATTTTTTAAAAAAGTTTAGTTATAATCTTTCAAATAAATCTCAATGACATAATAATTATCATTTATATACGTGATATGAAACATATATTTTTTTAAATTTTGATTTTAGCTATCATTTATATTATAAAAGTAAGACTTCATCAAACCTAAACAAAGAGTAGCTACAGAAAAATTGAATTATGATATTTGTATCATTCATCATGACTAGGGTTGCCATGCCCCCATCAGCTGGAGACTCCCGCAATTTTTTAGTTTACACGCAGACATCTCTCTCCCGCAAAACTACCGCAATTGAAAATCTCCCGCAAAAATCTACCGCAATTTTTTAATTTCTCCCGCAATTTTTTTTTTAGTATTTTAACGTTTTTAAAATATAAATAATAATTTTGAGAGACAGTAATTGATCATTTTTATATTTTTAAAATAAAATTGAAATATTTATTTGAAAAACATGTTCAGTTTATAAATTTCTTTCTATCCTGTTTTATTTTTATCCAATAATAAATCAACATCATTTCATTCATATAAGTCAGTACAGGGGAGTATATCAACATCGATTGCAATACAAAAATATTATCCAAAAATAATAAATAATACAGATACAACTACAGTTACGGAAATCGTATACAACTATCATGTAGTTCAACATTCACAGAGCTATATCATCACAATGTGGGTCGAATCTTTCCCATGATATTTAACGACTCCGATATAAGTGCAAACCTTACTTGTGGTAGATCAAAAATGAGCAAGGCTATCACAAGTGTTTTAGTACCTGAATCCTAGAATTCAATTTTAGACGATTTGAAAGATGGGCATCCAAATGCAATTCTAGCAGATGCATCTAATAAGGCAAATATTAAAACATTTCTCTTGATCCTTCACTATTTAATAAGAATAAGAACATTTCAATAAAACTGTTAAAAATTTTTTCTTCTGATAATGAAAAATCTAACGATGTAGCTAACCACATAATGGTAAATATAGCTGATTTAGGGTTATCAATGATTTGCATGTCAGCTTTTTGCACTGATAATGCCTCTGTAAATTTTGGCAAAAACCAAAATGTATTTACCGAATTGAGGCAGCATAATAATGAATTAATAACAATTTGCTGTATATGCCATATACTACATAGTTCTTGCAAGAAGGCAATGAAATGAATGTATTATCTGTAGATGTCGAAATAATTGTGATGAAATGTTTTAAAGAATTTAGTTCATCAACTAAGTAAATGAATTAAAAGAGTTAGTGGAGTGGTCTGACTTGGAATGGTGTGAGTTGTTGCGATATGTACCTATCAGGTGGTTATCATTAATACCTGCCATCGATAGAATTTTAAAATTTTACAAACCCTTAAATATTTCTTAAATAAAGATTTTAAAAGCCGTCCAAAAATTTTAAAAATTTTTTTCGAGTATGATATGGCAGAAGCATATTTGGGATTAGTTTCACATGTAGGAAATCTAAATCATGCAGTTAATATTATGTTGTGATCAAAATATTCTTTATTAATAAAGGTTCCCAAAATCATGCTACAGCTTTGTTCATCTCTAGAGTTAAAAATTGATAATAAATTTTATGGCGCTATTGCTAAAAATATTATATTAAAATGTTCAAATAATACTCTAATTAATACATTTTTGAAGAAGCAGACATTTTTATTAAGACAATTTTAGAATATTTTCAATCAAAATTTGATTTTAATAACTCTATTTACAAATGTATAAATAATATGACCTTGGGACAGAAACCATCAATTGAGGTTTTTGTAATTTAATAAATATATTGAAAATACCGAAAGACATTGATGTCTTGTTTGAGGAGATTGTAATTCTCTCTATTTTTTATGATTCGCCAGAATACTTAAAGTTAGATGGTCTAAAAGCTGAGGAGAAATGGATAGAATTTTTTCATAAAAGCAATAAATCCCCATGCTTAGAAAAAATATGCCACTAAGTTTTCTCCTTACCTCATTCTAATGCCTCATCCGAGGGCTTTTTTAGCCTAATGAGGACTGCCTGTAAAAAGGAAAGAAATCGAATTGCTTTAACAACATTAGAGGCCGAGTTAATAGTTAAATAAATTTATAATATGTCATGCCAGTTTTAAACGTTTAGTTCCATTATTTAAATCTCAAATAAAATATAATTAATATTATAACTAATTTTCCATATTTTTTTTATATTTTATAAAATCTTATTTTTACATTCGCGTAAAATAAATATATTTTTTACATTGTATCAAAAATAGAGAGCATTACAAACTGCTCAAACAAGACATCAATGTCTATTGGTATTTTTAAAATATTTAAACATTTTAATATAATTTTAGCAATTGCGTCATAAAATTTATTGTCAATTTTTAACTGTAAAGATGAACACATCTGCAGCATAATTTTGTGAATTATTGTTAAGATTCTTCTGATTGCAACTGCACATTAACAGCATGTAGTAGATTTCCTAAATGTGAAATCATTCCTAAATATACCTCTGCCATTCATTATTGAAAAAAAGATTCACAATGTTAGAACAGTTTTTATAATCTATATTTAAGAAATATTTTTTTAAAGGTTTATAAAATTTTATAATTCTATCGATGGCGGGTATTAGGAACAAATCGCAACCAACATTGTGCTGACTTAATTCTATAAATACACTCTGATTTTTTCCAAATTCCCTGAGGCATTATCAGATCAGAAATCTGACATGCAATTTATTGATAATCCCAAATCTGCTATATTTACCATTATATATGTTAAACATGGATTATTATTTTATTATAATGGTTGTTATATAGCGCAAATTTTTATATGTTACATTCATTTAATTAACACCATTTATATTAACTTAACTTAATAGTTTCATTTAATTGTTTAATAGATTTTTTGTATATATAAAGAATAAATTTATTATATTTTTTTAGTTGTAATATTTATAAAATACATTTATTTAATTAAAGTTTTAAATCTTTTTGTTAAATCTTGTCTAACTCCCTTCCAACCTTAACATGGTGGCAGCGGAATTTACAATTTTAAAATCTTTTAAATTAATTTTTTTCTACAAAATATAATTTAGATCAAATGGTTAAATAAACAATGACGAGAATTGTTAAGCTAGATATCAAACTAGACGAAGCTATCATGGATAATGGAGTTGTTATAAATTGAAATGATTATTAAAATTGAGTATATGACTTACAAGAACCAATATGATAGTTAGACAATAGGTTATGAATTCTATGTAGTAAAACCAATGATGATTTATAAAATATTCTAAATCCAAGTAAAAAAAAGAAGAAGTTATTATAAAATTCCAATATAACTTAATAAAATAACTTAAATTAATTATAAATCAGTCATAATGAACATATATGAATACTTAGATAACCTTAAAAAATATTTGCTTAATAACGAAATAACAGTTAAATTTCTTGATGACCTACCCATTTATATTTTTCGTATTTTTGATTTCTTGGATAATGACCTAATCCAAATGTGGGTATTAACTAAGTTGCCTAAAGATAAATTCTTAGCACAATTAAAAAATATTACGTTTCACTTCCCAGATCATTATAGATTTCATATTGACAAAATTCAGTCTAAAAAAAATTATAATACTAGTGACATAGGTTATTATAATAATAATAGCAATATTAATTATAACAAAAGAAATTATAATGATCATAAATCTAATGAGCATTTTAAAAACAACTTTGGACGAAACTTTGTTAAAAGATATGATATTAATTATAATAAAAATTGCAATTTTAGATATTATGAAAATTGTAATTATAGAGACTACAGAAATTATAAAACTAACAACTTTAGAGGTTATAACTGTGAATCCCATGATAAGAAAAATGTTCGTAATAAAAATTTTAATAAATCTAATAATGAGAATTATTATGAAAATAGAAAATTAGACAATAAATATGATAAAGAAACACATTATAAGAAAAGAAATTATCATTGTAATTGCAAATCTCTTAGTAACAAAAAATTGAAAAATATTGAATTAAAACCAAATATTCAAATTGAAAGAGATTCTTATAAACTAAAAGAAATAAATTATATAATAAAATTTGAAACATTTGTGATTATAGAAAATAAGGTAATAAACATTAAAGAAAATAAATTAAATAAAAACTTTTATAATTGATAAAATTAAAAAAACTATGAAAATAAAGAAATTTCTAACATTTAATATTAAGAGAGGCAAGGTGATAGTTAAACATCTTGATGATAAAAAAGTTTTTAAGAATATAATATGGAAATCATATATTAGAAATGGAAGGCGAAATAAAATTCTTTTTAGAAAGAACAATTTAAAGATAATTTATGATATGAAAAAGTTGTTTATATTGAAAAATAAGGGAGTAACATTTAGGCTGCATTCATAGTGAAGACGGATTCAATTTTTACATCCGTTCCGTCAAAAGTTAATCTCATTAAAAATGATATATATGTTCATAGTGCGTTCGTTCCGATACCTTCCGTCTTAAAAACGGATCCGGCAAATTTTG